GAGACAGTAAGAGTTACCAAAATGAATGCCCAGGGTAAAGTCTCCAGCATGCCATGATCAAAGTACTCTGGATTGGGAAGGAACATGGAGCATTTGAGGAACCAAAAAGCACCACAGACTGGCTGAAGCAGGGATAGGAGAGTAGGAGTGACAAGGTAGACAGAAGCCAGTGACCAAAGCAATTCCTACCTTCTTAACCTTAAGATTTTGGATCTGATTGTAAAAGCAATGGGAACCATCCAAAGTTTAGGCAGGGAAGTAACGTCAGACTTTTTTTTTTTTTTTACAAAATTTTCAGTAACTCATATTGCTTGCAGAGAGTGGATTAGAGTGATCAGAGAGAATAAACTATAGATTTTAATTAATATGCTGTTGCGGGAATCTGACAGATGATGCCTTAGACTACAGTGGTAATGGAGAAGTGGATGGAATCAGAAGATATTTTAGAAGTTGTAAATGGGTTGGTTTTGGTGGTTTTGAGATGTAGTATTAAGGGAAGAAGACTTTGGACTCTAGAGATGATTCCCAGGCTTCTGACTTCAGCTTCCAAGTAAACGTTGTTGGCAATCACATCAGACGATTAGTTTTTGAGGTATTCCGCAAAGTATACAGACTCAAGGGCATCAACAGGAACATAGGCTAGGAGTCCTTTGTAATCACTGTGCTGTATGTATGTGATGTTTGTGTATATAACATATGTATTTTTAACTTGTCTGAAAACATGCAAAAGTTTTCGTGGATGGTGTCATTCAGTCTATGTATGTGCTAAGATCAGCAAAAAACAACCTGGTTTTTAAAGAGAAGTAGTCATCATGAGGGAGTAGGTGAGATTTGGTAGGGAAAGGATTTTTTTTCTTTTAAAAGCTAGAAGAGATTATTTGTGAAAAGAAGTTTAAATAAATCCACAGTTTTCCCCATAAGCTAGGATCCAAGGTGAGTATAAATTTAAATAGTAACTAAGTCCATTGGTTCTTGCTAACTCTTGTTTAAACCAGTTTGTTCTTGCTGAAACTATTAATCCAGATTAACAGACAGCTACTAAAATTTTTTAAAGATTTTAATCAAAAGGCCAAAAAGTCTAGTTTCTGAATTGGCTGGCTGTTGCTTGTGGCTTTATAGCTCTTTAAGATGCCTAAGTTTGGGGTTGGGAGCTGTGCAACTTTAGAAATCTAGAAATGTACCTGCCAGTAGAGACTGTAATCTGTTATGGACATAAATTGAGAAAAGAAAGAAGTAAGAACAGAGAATCTTGTTCTGTAAAAAGGAGAGTTTGTACAGTGCCATGTATGATTCAAACTCTTGAGATAAAGGAAATGAATTTTTACTGTAAGTGAGTTGAGAAACAAAACCCGTGGCAACATTTTCCTTTTTACTTTGATTGCTTGAAATATGAAGTATTTTATAGCATGGAATATCAAATTAAAATCTCCAGTGGGAACATCTGTGATATAAGTGTGTGATATAAAATCAGGTGGAGATTGAACGCTAGGAATGGGAATGTGGGAACTGGCCAGATATTCTCTACTGGCTGCAAGCTGGAAAGTGTTGCTTCACTGATGCATCCTACAGTGGAAAGAACACAGGCATAGAGTCAAACTAATTTCTATTTCACGCCTCTGCTCTACAGCTTGTTCCGAGAGGTAGATTGCCCAACCTTGCTGCACACCATGGTTCTCTGCTGAAACTTAGGGACTGACACTTATTGCCCTATTGATTCTGAGGTTTAAAGAAGAAAATGAATGTAAAGCTCCTAGCATTATGCCTGGCTCATGATAGATACTTAAATTCTCAGTTGTGCATTCTTCTCCCATTTGATTTTCTTTATACCCAGCTTTAGAGTCCACAGCAGTGATATAGAAGCCTATTGTGAGCCAAATCATCTTCATGAGTTGGAACAAGTGAAGTTGAATTTCTCCTTTCTTTTGATTATGAAAATAGAAATTCACAGGTCTTAAAAAACTTGATGCTTTAGAAATGTTATCCTACATGAAACTACTATAGGAGTGCTCTTAAAGGCACATAAAATAGTTTTGTGAAAGCTTTTAAATAACAGTTGATATTTTAAATCCAATCCTGTGGTAGTTTTTTTTTTTTTTAACAAGGAAACATTTGGTTACTTCTTTATTGATCCAGTTAATGTTTCTTGGGCACCGTCTTTGTTTTGGGTCCTGTATAATGTAGGAGACTAAGAAGTGGACAGATGATTCTTATACGGTATGCCATAGTTGGTCTTGGGCTATGGGAAATCACAGGATATTGCGCCAAGAGAGTTTGACATTATGTATCAGTGCTTTAAAAATGTGATTTCTAGTTTTTGGATTCTATGAGAATTGTACAATAGCAAGTGAGCAGACTGTCACTATGTCACTATGTCAGATGAATGGGGTATTTCTGGACCTTTCATCTTTCTGCTTTCCAGTGTAGTGTGTTGAGAGGCAGTCTCTCTGCCTCATATTTTGTTTACTTCTTCACGTGTAATACAAATCTGCACCCCCTTTTGTCTCTTTTGAACAGACTTCTGGGATTTTCTCCTCCATCCTTCCACCCTCTCTTCTTTTTGACTGTAAGCAGAAGTGGTAAAGTGCAAAAGAATATGGCTGTGATGCACATAAATATCAGGTTCAAAAGAAGAGCTAACTTTTACTTAGTGGCCCTTTATTTAAACTAGGGATGTATCTTTCATTTTTAATTACTGTTATTTTGTTGAAGATCCACGTGCCAAATACTTTATGTATGTTATCATGCTTAATCTACATTATCCTGAGAGGTTTGAATAACCACCTTCCTTTATTTTACAGTCAGGACCTCAAAAGATTGAAGGTTCCATTTAGCCATATGCCCAGTAAATAGCACAGTCAGGATTTGAATCCAGGTCTGTCTAATGCTAACACTCTTTGTGTATTGCACAAACTGCTAACTTTGGCTTGGGAGTTTGAAAACCCTCAGTACTAAAACTCTGAGTTTCTGGTGAATTGGGTTAACTTTCTCGGTTCTTGTTTTCTTTGTAAAGTGAGTAGATTGAGTTAAGTCTTTTAAACTTTTCTCTGGCTGTAAAATTCTGTGATTTGTTGGTTCTTTTTTAATTCAAGCAGAAAATGTATAGAGTGTCTGCTAATTCTCTTTGTGAGCAGCCACTTTGGTTTGTTTCATTTTATTTTTTTATTTTTTTTTTTGGTGCCGGGGATCGAACTCTGATCCTTCCGCTTGCACAGCAGGCGGCGAAACCACCGAGCCAAATCCCTGGCTTAGCCACTTTGGTTTGTAATGAATACTGTTTTTCTGTAGATTTTATGACATTGTTGCTCTGTGGTAGTGTTTTTAAAAAAAGGCATATTGGGAGCACAGGTTAAAAGAAGGTAAGTCCTTCTTACCTTCTGCTGATTCACAGAACTTGAAGAAAAGTAGGGCTAGGGATTGTATGAGTGGGACCTAGCAGTATCTTTAGACACTGCCATCATTATCTCAGGTTACTGTGCCTGGGTGAGTCAGATCAGCACCACCACCCCCCGCCCCATGTGTGTGTTTGTGTGTGCATGCATACGTGTGTGGGGAGGCATTGGGAATTGGGCTAGATGGTGTAATGATGACTCTGCTACAGTTCTTTTAAGGCCTTATAACGCTTCCAGTTAAATGGTAGAGAAATGGTTATGGGAAGAACAATGATTATTGATATAGGAGAGCTAATGAGATGACATGACATAAAAATAGCATAATTGCAGTATTTTTTATTCAATTTATACAGTACCTTTTTCTTGAAAGTGCTGCACCTTCAAGAAAAAGGTACAGTGAGATAATTAACAATGAGTTATTAACAATGAGATAATAGGCCATTTTAAAATGTCAAAACATTGAAGAATAAAGTAGCTAGGAGAAATAAGTGCACAGAAAAATACACAGAAAAGTAGCAGTGGAGACTTAGGTCACTGCTTGGCATAGCAGGTTGGTGACTGTGGCTGAGTTTATTGCATTCCCCAGGGCTCCTGGAAATGGGTGAGGGCTTGATATGGAGAGCCCTTCTTTGGTCTGGTCTAGTACTCACATTCTCCATCCTGAGGTTGTGATTGAGGACCGTGAGCTTTGTTGTCAAATGGATCTCTCCTTATTGTTAACTTGGAGCAGATTACCTAAACTTTTGGAATGTCAGATTCTTTATTGACAAAATAGTATTATTTATACTTGCCTTGTTAAGAGCTTTTCTGAGGATTAATGTAAATAAATTATATACTTAAAACATTTAGTTCAGTGCTTGGTTAATGTGTCATAAATGGTAACTGTTCCAAGCATAGTGATGATAATGAGGTTATAGAGCATGGTAGTAATGACTTCTCTGGTTCAAAGATAAGGCTGTGTGAAATTGTAAGGATCATCTTCTGTTTCTCCAAATTGACAAAAGTATAATCTGTACTTCATAAAGTAGCATTCGGTTTTTAAATGAAACAGAGAATCTTAGAGAATAATCACATTTGTATGCCCGCTATCAGCTTAAGAAGTAAAAATATTACAGACTAAGCCATTTCTATGTTTTTAGTATGTTTCTTGTAAACAATATAATTGGATTTTATTTACTCTCAATTTTCTGCCTTTGCTGGTAAATTTAGACTGTTCACATTCATTAGCATTACTGATACACTTGTTTATACCATCTTATGTGTTTTCTGCTTACCTTTCTGGTTTTTGTGCTGTTTTCCTTCTGATCTATCTTCTATTTGTTTGAACAACTTTTCTTTTTTCTTTGTATGGATTACTCTTGAAATTTAACATTTATCATTGGCTTTTCAGAGTCTTATATTCAGTGTGTCTGTTACTCTTCTGAACAATAAAAAGACTTTGGAAAACTTTAATTCTAATCACCCTTTACCAATCTTTGTTTTTGACCAGTGTTTTACTTCTGTGCTTTTTTAGTCACTCAAATTAGTCTTTATGATTGCTGTTGTTGAATTTAATTTTATACCAACTTACATTGTCTCTTAAAATTCAGAAAACTGCTTACTCCTTTTCAGATTTTCAAAAGAAACAACCAGACGATGATTCCACTCCAAGTACAAGTAACAACCAATCAGATTTGTTTTCTGAAGAGACCACCAGTGACAACAACAATACCTCGATAACCACACCAACTCTAAGTCCCAGCCAGCAGCCGCTTCCGACAGAACTGAATGTAACTTCACCGAGTAAAGAGGAATGTAAGTGCCTGGATCATGAGAGGTGGCAGGGGCAACAGCCCAAGAACCAAGTTATGAGTTTCTTAGTTATGTCTAACCCCAGGGAAAAATAGCAGTTCTTTGATACAAGATAAGTACTGTATTCATATACAGGACTCATATTCAGCAAGTTAGAAAATAAGTTCCAGCCATTTCATAGGGTATAAGGTCTTCTTAGGAGATAGCTTTTTGCATTAACTGCTAAGGTACATGAAGTTGAAAACCATTCAAGAGCAGTGGCTCTCCACTCTGACTGCACATTAGAATCTACTGGGGATTTGGAGGGGCCGGTAATCTTTAGCATTCTTCCCTGATTGTGATGTAATTGATCTAAAGGGAAGCCCAGAAATCTGTGTTCTTTTTAACACTAAAGGAAATTCCATTGTGTAACAAGGGTTTTAAATCTCAGGTCTAGGGAGCCTTAACCCTGTCTAAAGAGCCTTGGATTAAAAACTTGCTCCAGTCACTCTCTTGGACCTTTTCTAAACATTTAATTTAGGTAATAACACTACATATTGCTTAGAAAACAGGCTAAAAGAAGAGAGTAGGAGATTGTTTCTGTTATCTTCTGTAAGTCTTCAGTGGTGGAATACTATTATTTATGTGTTTTGGAAGTTCACTAGCTACTTAACCTTTATAATGCTACAACTGTCTCTTTTAGGATACAACTATAATATAATATTTGTTGAAAATTACAGATGACAAGAGTTTTTGCCTTTTAAAAGCTTTACTTAACAAGGATAGAATTTAGTGATCCAAGTTTAATCAGTACCTAGAAATGTGACAGATTAGGATGGTCTCTCTATAGTTTTGGAAAGGTTAGTGGAAAACAAATATTTATCTAAATCTTTCATAAACTACTGTATTTAGTTATATTGAGAATATAAAAAAGAGTCATAGTCCCTGTCTTTAAAGAATTTACTATTTAGCACAGCAAATTAAATAATATTTGTTATATAAGAGGTTGCCAACCAGGTGTGAATATTTGGTAATGTCTGGAGGCCAAGGAGACTGTTAAACGTCCCATATTACATAATATGGCCCTCCACACACACAAAAAAATGATCTTAATTGACATGTCAGTAATGCTTAGGTTTAGGAGCTTTGATGCATCACTGTTTGTACCCATGTTAACAGTCCTGCTGTGTACTAAACACAGTGACTATTGGAAGAAGGGCTTGACTCACTGAAGGAAGTGATATGGGAAGTGGATAGAAAGTAGTGAAAAGGCATTGTACACGAAATAGCAGGAGCTATGGAAGAAAGTTGCATTGAGTTCTTGAATAGCCAATGACTTTATTAGGGCCATTTAGGGAGGAGAATAGAGGACAAGCCTGGAAAGGGGAATTATGGCTGAGTAGCATTATAGTTCTTTTGGAGAAGTAACCTGGCAGTGTTACAAATAGGAAGAACTGTGCTAGAATAGCATTGCAGAGAAAGACTTGTAATATTATACCATGTTAAAAACAAAAAAAGAATGGTAGTGGTAATGTCAAGGGAGAAGGTTTTGTTTTGTTTTTAAAAATCAATTCTAGGTCATGTACTTATTGAGTTGATGAAAGCCATGGCTGGATTTCTAAGAAAAATACAAGCTATCCATTTACACCCAATTTTACATAAAATTTCTATAAAGGTCATTAAAGCCTTCAAGTCAAGAACTCATAGTTGAAGGGAAAGGTTGGAGCTGATGAGGAACTCACCTGATGGAACCTGGATTAGATTCAGGCCACAAGAAACCAATTCAGTCAGCCAAAATGCATGTGAAACTTAAGATAACAGTAGTTACTATTGACTAAGTACTTGACATATGAGATATGATTCTACTCACTTTGCATATTTTCTCTTTTATTCCTTACGACAATCCAGTGAGGTGTATGCTACCATTAGTCATTGTGTGGCTAAGGAAACTGCCACAAGGAGATCAAGTAATTTGTCCATGATCACAAATGTGAACTAGGATTCACATTCAGACATTTGGTTTCAGAACCCATGCTTGTAATCAGTTAATTCACAGTGTAAAATGCACCTATCACAGAGAATATTCATTTTGACAAAAATCAGTACTTTGCCTGCCTATAATTTAGGTATGTAGAAACCCAAATCATAACAAGAAGTTACTTTTAACTCATCTTGAAAAATCAGTATAACGACAGGGCTGTCCCACCACTCCCAGCCCAGAGGTAGGGGCTTCCGGGCCACTGTTCCAACGCTCCTAGCCCAGTGGAAGGGGCTTCCAGGACACCGTTCCACCACTCCCAGCCCAGAGGAAGGGGCTTCTGGGGCACAGTTCCACCATTACCAGCCCAGAGGAAGGGGCTTCTGGGCTGGTGTTCCACCACTCCCAGCACAGAGGAGGTGAGCCATGTGGGCACCAACAGCAGCCCCCCCCCACAATCAAAATGAGAAGACACATAAACAAGTCTCAAAACCAGACTTCCAGATCACCTACAGCAACCCCAAAGGGAAGGAGATGGAACACTCGGATACTCAATCACCTGGATTCCTTAACTAGCAACAAAAGAGGATCTGGAAAAAATGAAATCAGAAATAATTTCTCAGATAACAGCAGAGATTGTGCCCATAGTTGAAGACATGATTAATAAATCTAGACAGGACACAGATTAAAAAAATAGAGGAGCTGAGGAACATGATGGAATCCCAACACAGGAAACAAATGAAATCCATAAAACAGATGCAAACAGATTTCCAGGAGATTAAAAGCTCCATTGAAAGTCTACGCAGAAGAATGAGCCAATGTGAGGACAGAATTTCAGATATAGAAGATAAGATTGCAATTAGTGACCAGG